AATGTATTAGCATCTACGATGCCACAAAATACGTTAAAAGGCATATTTAATAGCGAATTAAATAAAACTGATTAATTATGTTGATGTATTTTCTACAAACTTGATTATGAGAGTGAGGCACAAAGCCAAAATGAGCATACTACACGTTTTAGAAGCGCGGAGTACTAGATATATCCATGTTCGTTTCGCTAAAATTTAGCTTATATCGATGCTTATACTGATTTGTTATGAGAAAAAAAACACTATTTATTCGCTAAAAAACACAGCACCAGAAGCTCTATGAACAGGGCACATGCTACAGGCCCACCCATCGAATGGAAGTGTTTTCCAGCGAGCGAGGGGCAGCTGTCTGTACCTGTACTCGTCTGTACACAGAAGTGCGTACGGACCACACCACACATCGTCGAAGGCGACGCTTCCTGTTCTTGGGCGTGTTACACGGCAAGTGAGTCACATGAGGTCCAAGGGATGATCTACTGGCTCGCTCACAGGATTCCGATCGCGATTCCCTTGGTGGGGTAGCCTGTCGGCTGACGGTAGGCCGACAGGTGCGCTGACTAATTTTTTATAATTTAATCTTTTTTCCGAAGAAAATTTGCGTTTGCCTCTGACAGACTTAAACACATCTTCGGACGCTTGATCGGCGCCAGGACTCGTGACGCTTAGATAACCCGTCTCGACACACGCGCCGAGGTCGGCGGGCGCCGATCTGGGCCACGCTGCTTTTGCGCAGGCGGCCACCGTGGCTTGTCGCCTCCGCCTCCGCGCTGCCGCTGTGATCGGCTACAGAGAAAAGACTGCAGCAATTTTCTCATCAATCAAATCACTAGAGTGCATCAGTGCATGGCTACAGAAAAAAGACTTCAGCGCATTATCCTGCACTTATTGCGTGATGTTTGAGTTTCCTAAATCTTAAATTCTAATTTTCAAGCAAATACTCTACGTACTATTAGGAGCGATTCCAAAAGGTCTTATAGTTGTAACATGCAAATAGGCTATATCAATGTATCGTACTCGGACATGGAATATATTTGCGTGATTGTAAGCATCTGAGAATGGTAATGAATGTCAGCAAAGAAGCATTTCTCAAAAGCAAGTAGAGTAAAACTTAAGAAACAAGATATTGAGTGTAAATTAACATGCTATGGATGGACTGCTAGCTGCAGTTCACAGCATCCACAAGATTAGAACACAGAGCTGCAGTGGAGAAGATATTGTTTGCCTTCAAAAGATCACTGACCAACTCCATCTGCTACATCCGTACACCAAACCAGCCATCACAAGCAGCACTAGTCTTTTTTCTGTAGCCATGCCATCACTAGAGAGGAGAGATTGATTTCCACGTGCTACTAGTTTGCACACGTACTGCCGCTCAAATAATTATTATTTTAATCAAATTTCTACAGAAAATAGACCTCTCTAGTTGCAGCCAACTGGCTGATCTCGTAACCAACACACAGCAGCAGCGCAGTGGAGTGCGGTGCAGCCAATCTCTCTCCCCTCATGTCACTTGAGAGTGGATTTTCTTAGACTTTCAAAATGCAATATCACACAAATCGTAAGTCCGTTTGACGAGCCGTTTGAAGATTATTATTGGAAATAATGTGCCCAACAGAACGAGACCCAACAAGGCTACTTGTAGGTTTTAACAAAGTTTTCAAATGTGGGGCCCATGTGCCACTTATTTTTTAGTATGAAAATATAGTCAATATGGGTCTTGTTTTATAGATTTAATTACAAGGAATATTCTAGTGCAAATAAATTACAGAAACAATACACTGTTTAGAAGCTATGGCCATTCAAAATTTCACAAATCAGACGGCACAGGGACGGGAGAAGCGGAGCGCGGCGGTGCCAGAGCCAGACGGCAGGCCGCAGGCGCGCCTCTCGCGTGTCTTTGGGCGCCGCGGTTACCGAGGACCAGCCATCACAAGCAGTAGCAGTCTTTTTTTTCTGTAGCCATGCACTGATGCACTCTAGTGATTTGATTGATGAGAAAAGGCTGCAGCAGCCGATCACAGCGGCAGCGCGGAGGCGGAGGCGACTAGCCACAGTGGCCGCTGCACAAAAGCAGCATGGCCACGGCGCCGACCTCGGCGCCATGTATTATGGCATCGAGGTACCGACCACGTCAACGTCACTTAGGATTTCGGCCAGGCACTTCGGCGCCAAGATCTGTGGCGCCGAGACGTGTTACCTCGGCACCATGAGTCCTGGCGTCGACCCCAGGGTCAAAGATGAGTTTAAGTCTTCCAAGGGGCCAAACGTAAATTTGCTTCAGAAAAATGGTTAAATTATAAAAAAATAGGTATCGGCTGTGCACGGACCGGCAGGCTTGTCTGGCCGGTCGACGCCGTCAGTTGCCGATAGCTGCCATGCTACTCTAGTACGGAGTATGCCTATGCTGTGCTACGTGACGTAGGGTGGCTCATGTGTCCGTGAGCTCACCTCGGGCGCGTGTGGACGCGAGGCGCCTTGATCGTGACCGTGATCGCCTCGTCGCCAAAGGAGTAGGACGTTAATCCATACGTTTTGCCTTCTCTTCGTTTGCTCTTCTTGCGGTTGGAGTTCAGGACTTCATGTCCAAATGGTCAGAGAAGAATGCAACTTTATATACAACCTCGTTAAAAATGATCAAAGTTTGATCAAACAAAAAATACTTCTATATTCATGATAAATCTAATGATACTTATTTATATACTTATTAGATGCTGCCTAAGAAGCATTTGTCGGGTGCTCAGAAAAGTAAAATATTGGGATTTATGTTTTGGACAACATTGATCGCTATATTGTTCTTAAAGATTTTGCATCAATAAATGCCTAAAGACGGTTTTTTACAAGGCACTGAAGCATTATATTTTTATTTGAGGTAATCATAACAATTATTGTACTTTTAATTTTCTTGTTTTACTATCATTATCTTTTATACAAACTAAGTATACGCTGCAAATTAACTTTTATCATTTGGTCTTTACATAGCTCAACGGGTCTTTATTGTCTTACTTGCCCAATGACCCTTAAAATTGTAGAGCCGGCCCTCCTTCGGTCAGAAGCTGGTCACCGTCGCTGGCCTATCGGCTCACGGTAGGCCCACAGTACCCTATCATGCAAACTGGAGCTGGTCACCGTCGCTGGCCTGTCGGCTCACGGTAGGCCGACAGTACCCTATCATGCAAACTGGCCTCGCTGCGTCAGACCGTGGAGCGGGACACGAGGCAAGCTGCAGCTGATCCCACACTATGCTGTGCTACAGTACCTAGTGGGTGTGGCTCATGTGGACGCGACGCGAGCCGCGCTGATCCCAATCTTGGCAGCGATCTCGTTTCTGTTGGCATGCTCCTGCGACGTCGGGCGTTACATTATAATTACTGTACATTGGATCTGTGTTGCCTGCAGCAACATGTGAAAATACTACAACCTCTTTAAAAAAAGAGTTTAACCAAATATAGATAAAATATTTAATATTTTTTATACCAATTTGATACAGTATAAAAATCTATCTCTGGATGAATTTAATGGTACTTATTTGATATTATAAATATCGATATTTTTATTCATAGAGAGTCTGACTAACTATCGAGAAAAAAAAAATCATCCAACTACCAAATAGGTCGAGTATAATTAAACATCTTTTGTTAATTGGGACTTGGGGGTTCAAAGAACAGATTCAGTCACTTTTTGCAAGTTTGCACAAGGTGATGATGGTAAGGGCATGTTTGGACCCATGAAGCTACTCCATACGTCCCAAAAAGAATGCAATTCTACAATGCCGCAATGTTTAGACATGTCAAGTTTGACCAATTTTTTTTAAAAATACTAATATTTATCATACTAAATTGGTACCATCCCATTAGTCATGAAATATATTTTCGTAATGGACTTTTTTGACATTATAAGCATTAATATTTTTACCTACATATTTGGTTAAACTTTAGACACTTTAACTGAGAATGCACCTAGAATTACATTTGTTTTTGGACAGAGGTAGTAATAGTTACCTTCTATGACAATTACTTGTATTAGACCAAAATAGGTACAACTAATAAAGTAGCTAACTCTTAGCTGGATACTTATCTAGCTAATAACTATATCTCACTAGCTAGACTAATTCAACATATAGCAGCTGGTGGATCCTAACAAACCCTAAGAAATAAAGAAAGATTGACATTGTGTGTTGTGACCTGTGAGCGTGTGAGTTGTACGTACTGTGTAATTACTTGGGAAAAAACATGCAGTGGGATACTGGATATATAATTCTTTGATGCCGCAGCAGACAGTGACCCTTGGAGCTAGCTATAACGTCTTCGTCTCTGGAAACTTTAGCATTTCTGGTTGTCCACACTTTGGTCCCCGAATGGTGGTGTTTTTGGAAGGAGAATCAGAATCTCCGGTTTGCAGATGAGGAACGAACGACCCACAGCACCCACGTTCTCCACGACATCTACTGCCAGCAGGGACAGACAGGGTGGCTTGGCTCATCACCATGCATGCACTAGACAGTGAAACGTGCAATGCTTGTGTGCCAATGTGGCGGAGTACCAGTAGTACTCCTACGTGGCAATACAAAATGCTGGTTGTTCCATGGGACAACGACGTGAGGCCTTCTCACCGTGGGCCGTGGCAGGTGGCACGCACACGTTACTCACACAGGCCGAGACAAGACCCATCGTCGTCGTCCCCCGCGACAACGAGTCCTCGATGCCGCTTTTGTACGCGCGCAGGCACAGCAACGGCGACGTACGGTCTCCCGTTGGGTTTGTTCGGAGTTTCGGACGCGTCGGAGTCCGTGCGCTCGGCGTCGGCGTGGCACACGTACTGCGCTGCGTCTGTAAAATATAACTCCCGTCCCTCCCATTTGTCACCGGCGACGAGCCGACGACATCGTCGCGTCGTCGTACGCATCTGCTCCGTTCCGCTGCAAGCGTATATATTGATATATTCACACGCACAGACCGGACCTGACCTACTCGCAACTTGCAAGACGCGCGCGCGCGCAAGCCATGTCCCCGCCGGCGGCGACCGGCGGCGCCGGTGGTGCTCGCGATGGTCACGCTAACTCCGGCCTCGGCGAGCCGCTGCTCCGGAACGGCGGCGGCGGCGGCGGCGGCGTCCACGCCGGGGCGGCGGTGACCGTGGCCAACGGTGGCGCGGAACCGGCGGCTGAGAAGAAGCGAAGCGCCGAGGACAGGTACTGGGTGGACATCGACCAGCCGGAGGCGCTGGAGCCGGCCGACGTGGAGAGTGGCCGCGGTGGCCGCCGGCCCCTGCTGTTTCGGAACAAGAAGGTCAAGCGGAGCATACTGTACCCATACAGGTGCGTGTACTGCTGCACGTACATTCGGGTTTACTTTGCTACAGTATAGAGGTTTTCGTATGTTTTTAACTTTGAACTGTCTGGAATTCAACTTTTACTCATTTCCCGGAAACTACTGCGAAATTGAACTTTTCATTTTTTTTGGATAAATAGAAGTGATATAGTATCAAGAAATAAGAATAAATCCAACGATCAATAATAAACATATTATTTATTTTGTTCACTGTCTAGTCACTTCGATCCTTAGTAATAACTAATAAGCAACAAAATTGACTAATTAACGCACAAGAACAGATAATCTGAAGAACGTTTTCACACACCACAGGTTCTTGATCTTCGCTCGTTTGATCGCAATCATCATCTTCTTCATATGGCGGGTGAAGAACAACATCGCCGACATCGAGTGGCTGTGGGCGCTCTCCGTCGCCGGCGACGTCTGGTTCGGCTTCTCATGGCTCCTCAACATGCTCCCGAGGATGAACCCCATCAAGAGCATCCCCAACCTCGCCGCGCTCAAGCGGCAGCACGACCGCCCGCGCCCGGACGGCAGCTCCAGCCTCCCGGGGGTCGACGTCTTCATCAACACGGCGAACCCCGTGGACGAGCCGATCCTGTGCACGATGAACTCCGTCCTCTCCATCCTCGCCACCGACTACCCGGTGGAGAAGCACGCCTGCTACCTCTCCGACGACGGCGGGGCGCTGGTCCACTACGAGGCGCTGGAAGAGACGGCGAGGTTCGCCGCGCTGTGGGTGCCATTCTGCCGGAAGCACTGCGTCGAGCCGAGGGCGCCTGAGAGGTGCTTTTATGATGAGCTGCTGAGAGCGCCGACGTACGCCGGTGGGTCCCCGGAGGATTTCGTGGAGGACCACCGGTGCGTGCGCCGGGAGTACGAGGAGTTCAGGGCGCGGATCGGCATGCTCTTCGACACGGTTCGCCGGCGGTCTGACGCGTACAACGCCGCCGGGAAATCTGGAGGAGGCGTGAAGGCTACTTGGATGGCTGATGGGACACAATGGCCCGGTGCATGGATTGATCCAACAGAGAACCATATGAAAGGCCACTACGCACCGATTATTAAGGTACTTCTTTTGTTATTTCCCTGTCATCATCATGCCTATGCATTGTTATACATTTGTTGATGAAAGTGGAGTAGTTAGTACCAAATTTCATTGCTGACGAAAGATTACACTACTTAGAATCAATTTGGCACGCATTGACATTGACAGGTGATGTTGGAGCAGCCAGGCCATACGCCTCAAGCTTGGGCAGCCCAATGACGTCGTCAACAGCTGTCCAATTGACCTGAGTGCCACTGACTCGCGTCTGCCCATGCTTGTCTACGTGGCACGCGAGAAGCACCCGACCAGCTACGACCACCAGAAGAAGGCCGGCGCCATGAACGTGCAGCTGCGCGTGTCGGCGCTGCTCTCCAACGCGCCCTTCATCATCAACTTCGACTGCGACCACTACATCAACAACTCGGGGGCGTTCCGCGCCGCCATGTGCTTCATGCTCGACCCCAGGGAAGGGGAGGACACGGCGTTCGTGCAGTTCCCGCAGCGGTTCGACGACGTCGACCCGGAGGACAGGTACTGCAACCACAACCGCGTCTTCTTCGACGGCACCATGCTCGCTCTCAACGGCCTCCAAGGCCCGTCGTACCTGGGCACCGGGTGCATGTTCTGTCGCTCCGCACTCTACGGCGGAAAACCTCCGCGCCGGCGAAGAGCCGCCGGCAACCACGATGGCAGCGGCATCGCAGTCGATGCTAGTGCTTTCGGCAACTCGACACCCTTCCTAGAATCAATACGGCTCGCCGTAGCCGGCGAACAAGATCGTCGGCCTGCTGCTGCCGTGTGCACACTGGATGATGAGTCGATCACCACCGAGCTGCTGAACGTCATGGCGTGCGCGTACGAAGCTGGGACTAGCTGGGGCAGGGGCATCGGGTGGGTCTACAACATCGCAACCGAGGATGTGGCCACCGGCTTCCGCGTGCACCGGCAGGGATGGTTCTCCAGGCACTGCACCATTGAGCCTGCCGCCTTCTGCGGCACCGCGCCGATCAACCTCGCCGAGCGCCTCCTCCAGATCATGCGGTGGTCGGGCGGGTCATTGGAGATGTTCTTCTCCCACAACAACCCCCTCATCGCCGGCGGCTGGCTGCACCCGCTGCAGCGCGTGGCGTACCTCAACATGACCATCTATCCCGTCACCTCCGTCTTCACCGTGGTCTACGGCCTGTGCCCGGTCATGTGGCTCTTCCCCGAGGAGTTCTACATCCAGAGGCCGTTCACGAGGTACGTCGTCTACCTCGTGCTGGTGATCCTGATGATCCACGTCATCGGAGCGTTCGAGATAAAATGGGCGGGGATCACGTGGACGGACTGGTGGCGGAACGAGCAGTTCTTCATGGTCGGCGCCACCAGCGCGTACCCGACTGCGGTGCTGTACATAGTGATCAAGCTCGTCACCGGGAAAGGGATACGGTTCAGGATCACCTCCAAGCAGGCGGTGGCGGCGGACGGCGACGGGGACAAGTTCGCCGACCTGTACGTCTTCCGGTGGGTGCCGCTGCTGATCCCGACCACCGTGGTCTTCGCCGCCAACGTCGGGGCCATCGGCGTCGCGCTGGGCAAGGTAATCGTGTTCAATGGAGTCTGGAGGTCGTATCAGGTGAGGCACGCGGCGCTGGGCTTGCTGTTCAACGTGTGGATCGTCGCCCTCCTCTACCCGTTTGCGCTGGTCGTGCTGGGACGGCGAGGGAAGAGACCCGCTGTCCTGTTGGTCCTGTTGCCGGTTGCCTTCCTAGCTGTGGCCCTCGTGTATATCATTCTTCATAGCCTGCTTATGAATTTCATCCCGTTCTAGCTAGTCGATGCATGTAAAGGTTCGGAGTTTGGATGTGAGAGATAGAGCATCCATGATTGTAGTAGGCTTCAGTTCTCGCCTGCACTCCCTAAAAGGAAGAATGGAACATGTACATATGAAGGGGAAAACGAAATGATGAACTCGTGGTTCGAGATTAAATGTAATGCAGAATCCATTACTTTTGTTGATGATTGTGACGCTGCGATTTCGGAACATAATTCTAAAGACATTTGCTCGTCCAATCTTTATATATACTCACTACCGGAAACGTTAAATTTACCGAGTGTTTTTATGTTTACAGAGTGTATTCTCTCGGACACTCGACAAACAAATTCTTTACCGGGTGCTATACTAAAAACACTCGGGAAAAAAAAAACACTCGACAAAGAGGGTAGTTTGCCGAGTGTCAAACAAAAAACACTCGGCAAATAGGAAGTTTACCGAGTGTAAAAAAAACACTCGGCAAAAAAGCAGGTTTGCCGAGTGTCAAAAACAACACTCGGCAAACCCAAAAAATATAGAAAAAACCGTCCGCCCCTAAAATCCCGCCCCTCCCCTCCCCAGCCTCACTCCTCCCACCATTTCCCGCCCCCGCCTCCCTCCCCAAAGACCCCAAAGACCTGCCCCTCCCTCCCTCCCCTCCCGCCCCCCCCCTCCTCCCTTCTTCTTCTGTCGTCGGCTCCAGCCCCTCCCTCCCTCCCTTCTTCTTCCCCATGGCCTTGGCCCCCCCCTCCTCCTCCCTTCTTCTTCCGCCGGCTGCCAGATCCGCCCCTCCCCTCACTCCCCTTCTTCTTCCGCTGCGGATCCGCCCCTCCCTCCCTCCCCTTCTTCTTCCCCGGATTCGCCCGTCCCTTCTTCTTCCCAGTGGCGGTCAGGATCCGCCCTCCCTCCCTCCCTTCTTCTTCCCTTGCATGGCGGATCCAGCCCTCCCTCCCTCCCCAACGGCGAGATCCGGGGAGGGCCATGCATGGCAGCAGGCGCACCCAGCGGCCGAGGGGCGGCTGCGGCGCTGGGCAAGCGGCTGCAGCCCCGGCCGAGAGAGGCGGCGGCTGTGGCGGAGGCGGATGCGGTGTGGTGGCGCGGGTGCACATCGAGGCGTTGCGGCCGCGCCATCATCGGCACCGGCAGCCTCGGAACCCGCCGACTCCCGTCGCGCGCGCATCCCGGAGCGGGGCGTCGGCGATGGAGCCCGTGTCCCTAGATCCCGCGAGGGAGAAGTGGAGAGGGTCGGCAAAGCAGCTGGGAGAGGAGGCACCGCGACGTCCGACGGTGGGGAAGGCGCCGCCAGTGGTCTTGACAGCCCTCAAATTGTGGACCGCGTGAGGAAGAGAAGGATAGGGGGCGGAGGAAGCAAAGGAGGGCGGGGAGGAAGGGGAGGGGGAGGGGGAGGGGGAGGGTGGTGGCCTGAAGGGGCCCGCCAATGGCAGCTAGGGTTTCAGGGCTGGGTCGCTCCGCCGTGGGCCTAGCCGAACATGTGGGCTTCTATTTCAGGTATGTCGCACTAGCTACTGTGAAACAGTTGAATTACTAATATAGCTAAATTGATTAAGTTATGGTCCATCGAAGGAAGCTCAAATTCTTTATAGTTGTTTTTAGTGTAAATTAGCAAGTAAGATATAGTTGTGTGTTGCGCGGGACATATAGCTTGTACCATCTATTTCAATATGTCTTGGAATAGAACTCTTACCGTGGCTAGACACGCACAATTTTTCGCTATCCGCAACAAAAGCTGCAAACTTGTTCATGAACCATGAGATTGTCGCAGGAGTTCTGATTTTTTAACTTGCCATGCCTCTCTCATCTTGTGATTGGCACCCAGGTTTTCCACTATGGAAGATTTGAGGGCACGGAACAAGGATGTGGGATTGGATTTAAAGAGGAGGAAACCGTTAGCTTGGAGGCCGACGCAGAACGGCGCAGCTTTAATTCAAGGTGATGCTATCTGAATGGTTCTGTTGTGTATATAAGCTTTCCTTTGTGTACTTGAGGCCTTCCCATTTACTTATTAGAAGAGCTTTGAGTCTTTAAGGACACCCATGTATCAAGTTGTATTTACAAATTGCAATCAAATTAACTAGTTAAGCTGCTTGAAGCTAACATTATTTCATAGCTGACATCCTGGCCAGATGATCCATACTTGCATTTCCACAAGGAATGCCTATAGAAGTAAGAAGTGATGTATTCAGTTCATAGATGCTCAGTGTAATAAGCAGTTTCAGCATTTCATCACCCAGTTTCTGTCTGCTCGTTGTCATTTCATTATTTCTGAATGTCTAAGCTTTACTTCTCATTATGCTATCTCTGTAATGTTACAGGCTTCATTCTGCTGGGCATTTGTTGGACATCTGTGTCCACAATGTAGGCCTCTTTCATCTGCAACCTGGAAAAGGCTACCATTTTCCTGATGGGTATGATTACTTATTTTTTAGTGCTTTTATTCTTTTGTTATTTGTATTACTAGGGTGAGAAGCAGTTTGCAGCCGAAGAGATCTCCTCTATGGTTCTCATCAAGATGCGTGAGATCGCTGAAGCTTACCTTGGCAGCACGTCAGCATGATCGCTGGGCTGGTTGGAGCTGTCTGGGCTGGCCAGCCCTCTCACATGAGTATTGTTCACCTAAACCAGCCAGCAGTACTTCTCTCACATAAACGAACCAACAACGATACGAACCAGCCAACCGAACAGACTGACGATCAAGAATGCTGTTGTGACAGTCCCTGCCTACTTCAACGACTCACAGAGGCAGGCCACAAAGGATGCTGGGGTGATTGCTGGCCTCAATGTGATGCGTATCATCAACGAGCCAACTGCTGCTGCTATTGCCAAAGGACTGAAATATGCTGAGAAAAAAATTATTTTTTTCTTTGAAAAATAGGTTTGCCGAGTGTAATTTCTAAAAACACTCGGCAAACAATAATGGTATGCTAAAAAATATTTTTTTCTTTGAAAAATAGGTTTGCCGAGTGTAATTCTAAAAACACTCGGCAAACAATAATGTGAACAGTATTTTGCCGAGTGTATTTTGGAAAACACTCGGTAAACCACTTTTTTTTGTCGATTGTATTTTGGAAAACACTCTGTAAACCACTTTTTGTTTTGGCTGAGTGTTTGACACTCGACAAACCATTTGCCGAGTGCGCGATAAAAAA